CCCCAAAACCCCAAAACCCCAAAACCCCAAAACCCCAAAACCCCTGCTAACAATAAAATATTTGAATTTAGAAATTTAAATATTTAGTTAAAATGAGCTTAAGAGATATCACCAACTTCCAGAACCCTAACCAGAGAAAGGATCAGTATCTTGAAAAGGACAGCAAGAGAGAACATGATAATTACAGTAAGTACTCTCAAAGGTTCTTGAGAGTTCTTTTATGATTGAAAACAAGCATAATGTTCAATGCATGTTTCTGACAAACTTCCATTCAAGGCCTTAAGTTCTCAATCTCAGTGATCATCATGTAGTAAAACCTTCGCTGCTGAAAGATGAGAGAAACTCTCCTAATAGCCCTTTCATAATCTTGTCTTTGAAAATTTCTGCTAAAAATTAGATAATTTTTAACAACTTTGTATAGAAGTCAAATTTACAGAAAAGTCGAAATTTTCCAAATACTCTCGTAGGAACAGAGGCAAAGGCCAGAAGCCAATTGAGAAGAGACAAGGAGAAGACAAATACGCGAATGTGTCTAAGTGAGTCCTCTTTCTTCCAGAATTTGAAAATTTTGACTCATTTCTTTTACTGATTTCTGATCTTCTATTCTACTTTGTTAATACAAAGTTTTAGTCTTGAAATTCTCTCTTATATGTTTAAAAATACTTGCAGGCCTCTCAAGAACATCTACGAGAATGCTAAAGGGAAGATTGAGGATGCTAAGAGATGGGTTATCATGAAGAAGCCTTCTCAAAAGAAACCTCCAACTAAAAAGAAGCACAGAACTGTCATAGAACTCAGAAACATTTATGCCCAATCCCTGAAATCCTGTGATAGACGCAAGGTTCATCAGATGAAGTACTGAGGAGAATATTGAGAGGCTATCGAGAAGCAAAATCTCTTCAAAGAAATGACTAGGTTCAAAGATGCTTTTGGAGATGGATCTAAGATAGTCAAGAAAAATTTCATCACTCAAGAAAATAGAACAAAGTGAGTAGAGCATACTAATTCTATAGTCTATTGGATAATCTATTTGCCTTCTTTCGTGCTTGACGGATCTCAGACCTCAATACTCTGTTCCTCGCAGTTCAAATTTTGGACAGATTTATGTACAAAATATTAGTCACATCAAAAGAGTTAAAACTAGCTGCATTTGTTAGCTTGGAGATAGCAGAAAAGTTTGAAGAAATTTATCCAGCTACATTAGCAGATTATTTAACATCCCTTCAGAGCAAGATAAGCAAAGCAGATTTTATTTCAGCTGAGGGGAGAATTCTACACAAGCTGGAGTATCAAGAGCTTTGCTGATATTGTCCCTCTTGAGAAAGAAACCTTATCTTCCAAGTTGCTCAAAATCATGAAGATTTTGAAGAGGGTTTGTGAAAGAATCATCTCTAAGCCAAACCGCTACAAGTACGCTCTCCAACTCATGCCAGACAAGAGTGTAAGGAATGTGTTAATGTCTGAATTTGAGAGGCAAATTAAGCTTTAATCTTCTCTAATAAATATTAACCAATTCTTAGTGCTCTCTTAAGTTTAAAAAGAAGTTTATCTAGATGAGCTCGGTTTCAATTATTTGACTCTCTAATGGGGTTTTGGGGTTTTGGGGTTTTGGGG